TGTGGTGCGGTTCTATTTGGGATTCATAGTGAAAGTCGAGCGGGTAGAGTAATTGAGTGTTGCCGGTAAGTGGAGTATCGATTATGATCTATCAGGTTGCGTGTCGTATGTTATTTGTTTTACCGTGAGTGTAATGAATTGCTTTGGTTCCAGAGATCAAAATGTGCGTGGCTGTCGATTTTGATCATAGTGACTTGAGGCGTTTCATGTGTAACAGTGTTTCGATATGATCGCGCATGGTAGCGGGGCTACGTGGAGTTATGACCCTTCGAGGTAGATTCAGGAATTCTATTTCTATGATGTGAGACGGGGTCTCAGCCTTGTGTTGTAATGATGTTGATGAACTTGAGGTACAACTCTTTCGTTTGAGTCATTTGTCATGATTTGAGTATGTTCAGACCGTTCCTCATTGGTGCGTGTGTTATGCAAGTTGTGGCTTAGGCCTGTGTTGAGGTGTCATATCACCAGGGTGGTGTGTTGGATTCGAGGTGATCGTTGGAGTCATTAATGAATACGAACAAATTTGATTCCAGCTTGTTAGAGAGATAATATCGAGGTTTGGCCCGGAAATTTTGTTGTGATATTAGTCAAAGAGAAGTGGCTTCATGAATGGTTAATCTGAGAAATGGTTACGATTTATTGCGTGTCTCATTTATCGTTGGCAGTATATGAAAGTGTTGGAATAAGACTTTGGCTAATAAGAGGTTTTCTATCGGTATTTGGTTATTGTGGGCAACTGCTGTGAATAGAGGCTATCGTTTCGAATGTTTGGACTGTGTGGTATGTTATGTGATTTCACCTGAGGTTGCAGGTATGATGTGAGGTTCTGATCTAGTGTATGATTTCGGAAAGTGCAATGTGGTTCTACGGTTTATGGTCTAGATGGACTGTGAAATTTCAGCTGTGCTATATCATCGGACCTATGTGAGATAGGGCGACGTGGGATCACCCCGGGTATATACTTGGTAAGGTCATTCAGCTATTGCTTGACTTCTAGTACCACTCTAGGTACGCTCGAGGACGAGCGTTGGTTTAAGTTGGGGAGGATGTGACGACCCGACCCGTCGTCTCATGTGTCACTGCTCCATTTCCCCCATTTTATGCTTCTTCATATTTCATTATCAGTGTTTGGTGTGTTAGAGTTGATTTGGATTGGTTTTGGTAGAAAAATGAGACACTTAGTCTCTTTAAGGAAGGCTTGTTTTAGAAAAGTCAACCGGACGTTGACTTATGAGTTATAGGGCTCGGATGTGATTTTCGGTGATTAGGTTAGCTTCGGGGGATGATTTGTGACTTAGGAGTGCGATCGGAATTGATTTTGGAGGTCCGGTGTAGAATTAGGCTTGAATTGGCGAAGTTAGTATTTTGGCGAATTCCGATTTATGGGTGAGAATTTGATCCGAGGGTCAGAATAGAATTCCAAGAGTTGCTGTAGCTTCGTTAGGTGATTTTGGATATGTGTGCAAAATTTCAGGCCATTCGGACGTCGTTTGGTTGGGTTTTTGATCGAAAGTGCATTTCGGAAATTTTTAAAGTACTTAGACTTGAATCCGATGAGAATTGATGATTTTTGTGTTGTTGGATGAGTTATTAAGATTGGAACAAGTTTGAATAGGGTATTGGATCATGTCTGTGCATTTGGTTGAGGTCCCGGGGGCCTCGGGGTGAATTCGGGTGGTTAAACGGAAGGTTTCTGGAGTTAATTGTAGGTTCAACTTTGCTGGTATCTGTTGGTTTCGCACCTGCGGTTATGGGACCGCAAGTGCGGTCTCGCTAAAGCGATTGGAAGATGCGCAGAAGCGGAAGTCTTGGGCCTTGCCAGATTCCGCAGGAGCGGAAGGAGGACCGCATAGGCGGCCTCGCAGAAGCGAGCTAGGCCTCGCAGGAGCGAAATTTGGAACCCTGGTCAGGTTCCGCAGAAGCGGGACATTGGATTGCTTAAGCTGTCCCGCAGATGCGATTGGGGGCCGCAGAAGCGGAAGGTTGCCTTAACTGAAAGGTCCGCAAAAGCGGACGTTGACCGCATAAGCGGAAGCCGCAAAAGCGGTATTGGATCCGCCGAAGCGAAATGCCTGGCAGTTAAGTGAAATTAATCATCTTCGCGAATTTTGAAAGAACAACATTTTGGACTTCGAACTTTGAGGACCTTGAGGCGATTTTGAAGAGGTTTTCGAGGGCTTTTAATCAGGTATGGATTCTTGGACTTAGAATACGATTTTAGGATGTAAAAACATGGATTTAGACTGAATAATCTAAGAATCAAAGGTCAAAAATGGTGGTTTAGGGTTTGAACTTAAGAGAGTTAAAAATTGGGATTTGAGGGAGCAATTGGACTCCGATTTTGGTAAATTTTATATGTACGGACTCTTGGCGAGACGAGAAATCCGGTGATGTGAATTTCGTAATTTTTCGAGAAGCGGGCCCGGGGCTCGGGTTTTGCTAGTTTCGAGATTTCTGCTATTTCTCTGTTGTTTTCGATTGGGTATTGTTCCCTTGGCATATTGTAATGTATTTGCTCTGATTTTGGTTAGATTCGACGGGCGTGGAGGCCGATTCGAGGGGCAAAGGCGTCGCGAGCTAGAGATTCCACCGGTTCGAGGTGAGTAATACTTGTAAATGATATCCTGAGGGTTTGAAACCCCGGATTTGAACATCATAGTGCTGTATTGAGGTGACTTGAACGCCGGATATGAGCGTGGGGTAGAGCACCATTGGGGATTGTGACTTGGTCCGTCCCGGTTGTTCATTTTACTGCGTAATTTACTGAAACTTACTTGATGCTATCATGATTTGGGCTGATTGCCATGTGTTGGGCTTTGTGCCGATTATTTGAATCCTTCAGGGATTGGTATCACTGTTTTTGTATTACTTTGCATATCATTTGATCTCGGTCCAGGGTTTTAATACGGTTTTGCAAACTCAGCCATTTTTCTAAGATTTGAAAACTTAAACAATATTTTATTGACATTTTGAGCTGAGAACCATTATTTTAATATTGTCCAAGTGGCTTATGTGCATTTCTGGACTGAGCATGGATTGGGCTGCGCGCCGCAGCAGTGTTATAGTAATTTCTGGATATATGGTTGGCTCGGGATGCATGCCGCAGCGGTATTGTATTGATATTGAGGCCGAGGGCTTGGTTGATGCCACAAGATGGCTTGATTATTGCGCTTGGGCTGTAGGAGCCCCTCCGGAGTCTGTACACACCCCCAGTGAGCACCGTCAATGTTAAATATGGTTGGCTCGGACTGCACGCCGCAGTGGGTACCTGAGTGTACCGATATTTGCATATGGTTGGCTCGGACTGCACGCCGCAGTGGGTACCTGAGTGTACCGGTATTTGTATATGGTTGGCTCAGACTGCATGCCGCAGTGGGTAGCTGAGTGTACCGGTCATATGCATTGCATTGCATTCATGCATTGGTTCTTGTTTGTACTACGTGTCATGGCATTCAGCACTCTCATATCATTGGCATCCATGCTACTTCTTGCACTGTTTACCAGACACTCTGGTGTTATTTATTAATGGAGTGTTGTGCCCGAGGGGCTGACTTATGTGCGGGCTTGCACTATCTGATTACACATTCGTTTGCTTGACTGTTGGAAAAAGGATATTTTCTAAAGAGGTTTTTAACTGAGCCACACATTTTATAAAGGATTTTCACGGTTTTTTTTTTACTGTTTTCTCAAAGGGTTGTACTGTTCTATATAGCATGATGGAGTGCCTTTTGTGATTTCTTGCTGCTCAGTTATTATTTACCTTTATTACTCACTGAGTTGGAGTACTCACTTTACTCCCTGCACCTCACGTGCAGTTGCAGGTATTTGTTACCCGGTAGCGGTTTGAGCTGACTGAGGATTTTGTTATCGTAGCTGAGCAAGGTGATCGCCGGCGTTCGCGGCACCGGACTTCGTCTTTATGGTTTTAAATTTGATTCTGTATATTATCGGCCCTGTAGTCGTGTTCAGACTCCTCTAGATGCTCGTGACTTGTGACACCCCGGTCGGGCTGTGTTGGGTTGTAAATACTGTTATTTAATGTCAATAAGTCGTATTTATCTATTCATTCATGTTTAAACTACTTTGAAAGAGTCGAGTTGGGTTAGTTGGCTGGCCTTGTCTTCACGAGAGGCGCCATCAAAACCGGTGTGGGGTTTGGGTCGTGACACAAACAAACTTCATCAAACTAGAACAAGCCAAAAGATGTTTGCAGACAGCTTGAACCGAGCGCGAAGATGAGAAGCAAACTTAAGCCACAAGTTTACAAAGGCAAGGCCAAGATGGATAACAAGGGCAAAGGTACAAATCCTCTACTTATTCCTACTAGTCATAGAGATATGCAATGTTTTAAATGTCAATGTGTGAGTAAAAATAACATATGAGTATCCTAATAGAAAAGCCATGTTGTCGAAGCCTGACGGTTCTTATGTAATAGGGAAATGCACGAAATATCAACCCCTTAGGTTAAATTCGAAGACATTGTTGGCTACTTCTATACAAAAATATGCCAAGAATCCAATAAACTCTTTGAATTTACCTTAGTCAATTTTCTACACTTGTTCTGTTTCTATGGAAAAATGACTAATTTCTGCTCAATAATGTATGATCTTAAAGCCCAGATCTCTTGCAAGCTAAAACACTAAATGCATTATTCCCAATTATACTCTCCTAAACTAGTTTCTTCCTCCTGTCCAAATACTAAAAAATTGTAATTAAACCCATCAGCACCAAATCATGTAAAATGATTCATGTTCACTAACATTACCTATTTAGTGCAGTCAAATGTAGTACATAATTGGGGCTATAAAAATTTCATGTGATTTATTTACCGATTTTATATGTTATAATTTACTAATCACTTGTGAAAAAAGCCATATAACTAAAAAAAATATTTGTAATCAGTCATAAAACCCAATCTCCTCTTACTATGTCTCAAAATTGACATTTAACATTATTTTGCTGGGAAAAATATCAATAGCATAATTTTACAACATACGTACTTTTTTTCTAATTCGTCTATTTCGAAGTTTAGCACTCTCAGTTCGAGAATTAGCTTTAGCTGTGGCTTGAATAACCAATGGCTTTATTTCTAAGCCTACAAAGGATCATACAAAAGCTAAGTACACAAATACTAAAACAGACATCATTGCATGCACGAAATCCGTAAATCCCACTACGTACCTGTTAGAAAAAGTAAACAATAAATTAAAATATGAAATAACGGCTTTGAAATGTGAAATCAACTTACTACAAGAAAAATATTGCTTGTGAAGGAAAAATAAAATCGTCATAAATTTCGATCCACATGGATGAATTATGACATAAAAACTGTCACAAAATTGTGACAGACGATTTGTCTGTATGTATTCCGTCACAAATATCAATTTACATGGTGAATTCTATCATAAAAACTAACACAAAATTGTGAGAGGCAATCTGTCTGTCATATATATTCTGTCACAAATATTACCTCTCATCTTTTGGCGCATCCACACCTAGTCCGGACTTGAAAACTTTCAACCCTCTTAGTGTCACCAATCCATAATAAACTTTCCCATCGGGTCCATGAAAACTATCAGTAAAATGGAAGAAGAAGCAAGACAAAGTACAAAGGCCAAGTAGTGTTAAAATCATTAATGTAGTTGACAGGCGAACAATCGCCTTTGCCATAGACTGATGGAAGGACCATTTCAAAAGTTAGAAGTGTTCCTGTTTGTAGAAAATTGACAAGCAATGATGTTTTTGAGAGTGTTTTTTGAACCCCATTTGCCATTGCTCTTCGTTTCTTGCCACCAATTGCTGGTTGAGGCAATTCGGGGATCGAAACATCGTTGTCTGGTGGCAAATTAGTAGGGTATACTGATGTATTTGCACGTTTTGATGCACTATAGATTTTGATCCCAATTCCCTCAGTACTTTGCTCCATTTTTTTTGAGAAAATTGAGAAGATTTAGAGCGGTTGAAGATTGAGAAAAAAAGAAGAATAATGATCACGAATGAAGTTTTCAGTCAAAGATGATGAATTAGTTTGGAGTATTGGATACTTGATTTGATGTACTTTTTGGTTTATTTATAGTTTTGGGTAGGTAAATTAAATATGGCATAAACAATTTTTGAATTTGGTTAACGTTAAGTAACTAACTTGTTTCGAATGGTTGCCACCCGCAAACTATTCCTCTCAAATTCAAATTTTGCAAGTCCTCATTTTGGTAGTTATTTCCCCCCCGTTAATTACTTTTTGAAAATAAATCATTTTGGGAAAAGGCAAAATGACTGCTATGATTACTCAGAGAGTCCAACAAAAAAATATTTGATTTACATTGTCACACCTCCTTTTCCACTACACCCGCAAGGGCATAAAGGAGTTTTTTCAATTAAAGGACAATCGGAACGGGATTTATTATTAAGATTCAGAGTCGCCACTTGGGAGATTAATGGTGTCCCAAGTCACCGGTTGAATCCCGAACCGAGGAAAATATGACTCTGTTAACAGTCCGCGAATCAAAAATCCGAGTAAGAAATTCTGTTAACCCGGGAGAAGGTGTTAGGCATTCCCGGGTTCCGTGGTTCTAGTACGGTCGCTCAACTGTCATATTTGGCTTATTTATCTGATTTTAATACATTTTTTGAACCTACGTGCCAATTTTAACTTTTAACCGCTTTTATTCAATTTTTAAAAGAAGGTTGAACGTCGTTTAAAATGTGTCTTTGGATCGCGTCACTTGAAATGCACCCGCAATCCTGAACACATTTTATTCAACATTTTGGGATTTGATTTGGGTCACATGAAATGCACACCCGAGTTTAAGAAGGTAAATTATTAAAAGCGCACCTAAAGTGACTAACGCGTGATTATCTTTGGGGAGGGCCGTGAAATTCGCTAGACGGCCCATCCCGAATTCTAAGTTCTTTAATGTAACCATTTATCGAGGGCCCCGCAATTTTGCGTTTTATTTGGCGAGGCTCGTCTCGTTTATTATTTAAAGGATAGTCCTAAAGTAAACTATGATTTTCTATTTTTATTTGTCTCTAATAACAAAAGAAAAGTCCTAATTAATCAATATTATAAATTTCGGGCCTCGAGTTCAAGTCCGGGTTCAAGCAAAAGGGGGAACCTCTTAGTTTGAACCCGCTATCTAACTTGAAGCCCACAGCCTGCCATTTAAGTACCAACAAACCAATTGCCATTTCAGTCTTGGGCCCAAAGAGCCCAAGCTACATGATACATGCACACATGGACAAAATTCCCAATAGACACAGACATTGGGCCTGAGATTAGCCCAAATCGGACAAGCGTATCAGACTGCGTTGGGACGATCAGAAGATCGAATCCCTGGAGCTGGCAAGCCACTGATTTGCTCAAACCTTTGCCTACCAAAATTATTCCAAACTCTTATGAGTGCATTCAATAATTGACAATAAGGTAAACAATGTATTCTTATTCAAGTTAACAGGATATTGATTACAAGTTAAGAGCCTAAATTCATACTTTGTCCATATCTAATTATCAAACAACTAACTAATTCAAACCAGTCAACAATTGATATTGCATGCTTAATTCAAATGAACTATTAATACTAACTACTGACCTAGAATTGCCAAAGCTTGCCTTAAAACAGTGTACTCAAGGAAACACAGGTTTTGACATTGAAAACTAGCCTACTTATATTAACTATTGCATTACGAAGTTGTTTAGGAAGCACGTTCGGCTTAGCATTGAACTCGATGTGGCCATCACCCACTGATTTCAACTTAATTGCAAGTTTAAACTATTTCTGATTTTTAAATTTTAAACAAAAAAATGCTAAACATAAAACAAGTACTAACTACAGCTGATAACTACAAATTAACAGTCCAAATTGTCCAATTTGGCACAAATTACACAGTCTGAGTTTCATTGAATATAGATCTAATTAGACTACATTATACAGTTATATATCATTGATATCTAATTAACTACAGATGCGTCTTCCAGCAAACAAATGCTTGAATACTTTCATTTCATGTTCAATCTCGAAGCTACATCAACTTTGAGTTCAAATGTGTACCTGAGATTAAAATGCAAAAGTGAAGAAGAAATGGAGGTCAGTGAAGCAGTGATGAACAGCAGCCCAGACTCAAAACAATGAAATCAATTTCAGCTCCTAAATTAACACAACAAACCCAGGAACAAACAGCACCAGATCCAACACCAAAAGAACATGAAATCCAAACACAAATGGACCAAAATATGCTCAAAACCAACCAGAAACTCCCTGAACTCGAACCAAACCAAAATCTAAAGATATTCAGGCCATTTCTACTCTTATGTCGACTGAAAATCTCATCTACAGCTAAAAATCTAACTCAAACTCTAAGAGAAATTCCAATAGAACAGGACTTTTATAGAATTTTTCTACTGTTTTTGTGTTTTTCTGTTTGAAGAAGTTAAAATCTAAAAGAGTATTTGATCTAAAATTTGAATTTCAGATCTGGAACTTGAAGGGTATTTTGGGGGAATTTTTAGGCTTCAAAACTTGTGATTCAAGGCAAGGGCATTGCCCTTTTATAGGCACATATGAGGTCATATCAGATTTTCAGCCTTTGCCACTTAGTCCCTCTTTTAAAAATCAATTTTATCTAACTAGTCCCTTAGTTATTGACTTAGGTGTCAAGTTATCCTACTCATTTTCCTTGAATTTCCACTTTAAACCCCAACTAGAAACTCCTAGAGAGTTCCCAATCACACAATTCCTTCCCTTGAACTAAACCAATTACCCCCTTCCTTTCTTTAACTCTAGCTCGGTCTTTTATTCCAGTTAAAAAATAGATTATAGTTACTCAAAAATCCTAATGCAACCATATCCAATGCACTAATAAAGCAGGAGGACCATTCTAACTTCAATAATGAAATTCAAAAGCAATCTGATATACTTAACTAATAAATAAAACTAAACTTATCAAAACAACACTCAAGTATCACAAAACAGGATCAAAAAAACAATTAAACCAAATGAAAACTAATTGAATCATAAAACACAAAATTAAACTCAACAGAATCAATTACGAAACAGCAATCAGGCAGAACTTAAACTAATCAGAAAGATCATGAAGAACTACTTTAATAATTCTCACAGTCTAAATTAAACCAAAACCCTAAAACAAAATCAACATGATGAACACAATATTCGCCTGAACCACAAATTTAACACAAACCAATCACAATTATCAAATCAGACTAACATACCACGGAAAAGAGCAGAAACTCAATTATTGAAAAAAAATAGAAAAGAAGAGAAATAGAGGGAGAACATAACCAGAAAACAAGTAGATGAACTTACTGGATGCCCTGAAAATCAGTTTGAAGCAATTTGGAGGCGGCGACGCCATGCACGGTGGAGGCGGCATCCATATTTTTGAATATTCGAGGGGTTGGACTTACATTCGAACGGTGATTTTTAGGGCGTTGGAAAGAGGAGACGGAGGGGATTCAACGGTGTAAATTTGGGGTGATTTGGAGAAAGTTGGGTTGTGGCCGGAAAATTTCGAATTAAGATTCGAAGAGATTGGTTGATGTTTGAGGGAAATTATTTGGATATTTGGAACGGAGGGGGCTGAGGAGGTTTCATGGTGTAATTTTGGGACTGAAAGGGACCGGCGCCGCCATCCACGGCGGTGGGGAATTAGGGCGGCTCCATTAGGGTTCTTGAGAGGGGGGGGGGGAGGGAGACGAGGGCCTAAGGGGGGTGGGGTGCCCGTTCGGACACTTATATATTAATGGGGGCGGGCTTCTGGACCGTCTGATTAATCAACATCGACGGCTTGGATTGAAACTCGATTATACGGCGTCGTTCTATTAAATAATCGGATGGGAAAAGGAATCGGGCATGGTCTGGGAGTGGATTACACGAATTGGGCTAGGGGAATTGGTTACAAACGGCCCAATTCGAGTCTTTATTAAACAGCCTTCTTTTAATTATTTTTCTTTTATTTCTTTTATTTTATTGTTTCCATTTATATTTTTTTATATTTCTGATTTTAATTACCAAATTCAAAAAACAAATTACAATTTCTAGAGTACACTAATTCCTAACAAATTAAAACTAAAATTGCAAAAGGAACATTTTGTTACTTTCTCCTTCTCCCTCTTTTTATTTTAATTTCTTTTAATTGGAACTAACAAAAATCCAGATTAATTCCTAAAATTAAGGAAAACCATTTTAAACCCCAAAAACGACAAATAACACAACAAATTAACATAAAACTACTCAAAAAGCAAAAAATCAAAAATTAAAAGCGCAAACTACACGTATACTTTTGATTTTTCTTTTTATGAACCAATTAATTTCTAATTTAAATCCTAAAATGTAAAGTTAAACCCTAAATGCACATGCCAAATGTATTTTTTTATATTGTTTCATATGAATTAAAATGCACAAATGAAAATGCAAACAATTAACAGAAAAATAACACAAAATTTATAAAATTGTAAATAATGAAAGAAAATCATTTTGTTTGAATTTTGGGAATAATTCATTGTAGGGCAAAAATTACCGTGCTCACATACATGAGTTTAGATATGTTCATTCCAAATACTATTAATATAGACCTCAATAATCGAAAAGGATTTGTATTATTATTGGACTAGACCACTGCTAATTATAATAATGGACATTTCCAATCAACGAATTACAAGGGAAAATGATAAAAGAGTTTAAATTTATGTGCAATGATAGTGAAAAACTATTTTTTCCCATCAACTTAAAGTGAACTACAACAGAACCTGTAATCTAACTTGGTAGCCTAGAAAATAATGTAAATTACTTGATAAAATAAGTTCAAATACATTGATAGCATAAAAATAAGCGTCCATAAGTTATCCATAATAAACTTTACTATTAAGGTAGTTACATATGCGTCTACTTGACGCCCCAATTAGGGATGGCAAACGAGGCGAGGCTGGGCAAAACCTTAATGGGGCAGAGCAGGGCAAAGTCTTAACACACTTTCAAGAAATAGTTAATGGGGCATGGCAGGGATAGGGCAAGATTTTTGCTGCAAAGTCAACAAACAAACTAGAATTTTCTTTTACTTGCGTTTGCCTACTTCATAGGATGGAGGTTTGTCTTTTTTCTATGTTATGTTTTTATTTTTTCCTGGTTTGGGGTAGATATATAAAGTGTTGTCCACAAATTATTTTGTTTTTAATTCTAGGCAAATATTTGGTTATGTAATATTGGTGGATCTTGGGTGGGAGATATTTTGTGAATATGTTAAATGAAGCAAGAGCAAGAGTGCAGCTACAGTGAACTCCAGTGGTTTTTGAAGTGTTTATTGCTCCGGGTCTTTAGGTAGATATACACACACATACATGAGAAGAAGTCAATCAACTGTTGGGTACAACTATTACTTATTATATCAGTAGATGCACGGTCTATGATTCTGAACTTCTTTTGATTAAAGTGTTGTGTTTGCTGTTTTCCACGTCAAAAAATTGATTTTGCATGTACAGATATGATATACTCCCGTTGTTCCATTTTATACGACACTCTTTTCCTTTTTAATCTCTTGTTAAAAGAAAGACATCATTCCATTTTAGCCTTAATGACATGCTCTTAATAAAGTAATTTTACGTCATGTAAACCGAAGCCATACCGTTATCAGATTTATCATGGAAATCATATTCATCGTTCTGTTTATAATAACATGAATAGTTACAGTTCCAAACTTAAAAGAAAGGAAGAAAAGAAAAAGCTAAATGGGGCAGGGCGGGGCGGGGCAGGTTGAAAAAGAGAAACACTGTTAAACAGGGCAGTGCATGTTGAATTTGGGTCATGGCAATGCTTCACCTGCCCCGCCCTGCCCTGTTCTATTGCCATCCCTAGCCCGTATGAGAAAGCTTCAGACTTCTGAAGGCTATAAATAATTCACATAGAAAAGAAGGAAGAAACTATCTGGGCAGCAAACCATGGCGAGAAATGGCAATCTCAAACGCTTGCATTCTTTCTCCTCGAGCAAAACCATTGCAATCATAAGATGAAATCATATTGATGTTGAGATCGACACAAGTCTGCACAAGTTTCTCACCAACACGTTCCGCTGCTTCCTGTGATTGAGGGACAAAGTCAAGGGATGATGCTATGACTTGAAAATCCCAAAATGCATTGGAACAAGAAAACATAGAAAACTGAGATCCCATCTTCAAATTATGCAGTCTTGAAATACCACTCACTATACAATTTGCACTAACATATTTATAATTATGTCTTAATATGCTAAAGATACTCACTACAGTATTGCATGGTGGATCACCCCGGATTGATTTTTGCAAAGTGCTCCTGTAAAACAAAGACTTCTTATTTTGGTCATCTACCAATGTAACATATAACTGTTTTTCTGAGCAGAAGACTGAAAGTCTTGGTTTTTCAGGAGTTCCATTAAACTGCCAAGACCGAAAAGAAGTTTAATGATTACAGTGAATCAATAAACTTATACATATATGCTGTGTGTGTTTGTGCGAGAGAGAGAGAGTTCATGAAATGATTTTAGAGAACAATTAAGATTAAGCATTGCATGGCAAGCCAAATGGTAGAACAAATCAAGAAAAAGGCAAACAAACTTCATCAACATGGGACAAGCCAAAAGACATTTGCAGAGAACTTGAAACACGCCCGAGGATGAGAAGCAAGCTTAAGCTACAAGTTTACAAAGGCAATGGATAGAAGGATGACAAGGGCAAAAGTACAGATGCTCTACCTATTCCCACTAGACATAGAGATATGCAATGTTTTAAATGTCAATGTGTGAGTAAAAATGACATATGAGTATCCTAATAAAAGAGCTATGTTGTCAAAGCCTGACGGACCTTATGTAACCGGGAAATGTATGAAACAGCAATCCATTAGGTTAAAATCAAAGTCATCGTTGGCTACTTCCATACAAAAATATGCCAAGAATAAAAGTAAACTCTTTAAATTTACCTTAAGCAATTTTCTACACTTGTTTTATTCTAAGGAAAAATGACTAATTTCTGCTCAACAATGTATGATCTTAAAGCCTAGTTACAGTCTATCTCTTCCAAGCTAAAGCACTAAATGCATCATTCCCAATTATATTCTCCTAAACTAGTTTCTCCCTCTTGTCCAAACACCAAAAAATTGTAATTAAACCCATCAGCACCAAATCATGTAACATGATTCATGTTCACTAACATTACCTATTAGTGCAGCCAAATGTAGTACATAATTGGGGCTATAAAGAATCTCATGTGTTTTATTTTCCGATTTCATGTGTTATAATTTACTAATCTCCTGTGAAAAATCCATATAACTACAAGAAAATTTGTAACCTGTCATAAAAACCAATCTCCTCAATTATGTCTGGGGAAAAATATTAAGAGCATAATTTTACAACATACGTACCTTTTTTCGAATTCGTCTATTTCGAAGTTTAGCACTCTCAGTTCGAGAATTAGCTTTAGCTGTGGCTTGAATAACCAATGGCTTTATTTCTAAGCCTACAAAGGATCATACAAAAGCTAAGTACACAGTAGAATAGGATTTCCAGTACCCAAAAAATTCTATGTAAAGCTATAAACTTTAGAACAATTGACAATAAAACTTACTTTTATTTTGGATAGGACGGGTGTATGAGTGCTTTATAAAAGTTCCAAAGAGCTCACAAGTCTTCATTTATCCCAATCAACGTTCTTTTTAAGTCAAGAGAGCATTTGATAAAATTGGAACAGGAAAATTAGGCAGGTGTTAGCATTTTTAATGTGCAAGCCATAACACCTTATCTTGTTGAAGTGATAGATTTGATGTGTGGTGGAGGTTGTCCAATATGAACCTTTCCCTCATTTCAACCGTTTGTTGAATATATATACTTGAACTCTAGCTAGCATCAAAAGTCATGGTTGTAATCTTCCTAATATTTTTTTTCCTTTTTGTTTCACTATTTATGTCAAGTTCTTGTTTAATTACTCGTCAATTTTAAATGGATTGTTAATTTGTTTAGCCGCTTCTATTTATTTGTACGAAACTTTGCCATTAGCAGAATATATATATATGAATTTTGAATAATCAACTCATAGCAATGTTAACTATTAACGTAAACTTATTCTAGTTATATCTGAATGTTGAATTCTAAGATATCAAATTTTCACCTCATGTCATAACGTTAAAAACTTACTCATATCTTGTGTTTACATCAATACAATAAATAGATAACATATATCTCAACATATCGGTCTTACCACTAAACTTAGAGTTAATTATTACTGCGAGTAACATATATCTCAACATGGCAGTTTCCTTAGGTTGGCTAAATAATGAGCCGTTTAGAATTGAATTGAGCGGAAACGTCAAACTTGGCTTGTGTGTTACGGTTTTCTATATCGATATAATGATTTGGTGAAAGTTATTCATATTTATTTTACCAACCGACATTAAATGATGCCAAATTTAACATTAACTTTGCCTCATTCAAACAAAGTTAAAGAGATATAATCAAGGCTTCTACTCAAAATGTTACCATGACTTAATTCTTGAAAAAAAATACTCATTCATTGAAATTCTTTCGACTTTAATTTTTTCAACATCTCATGTTTAGTAGTTAGTACTAACAGTCAGAGAGACATTTAATCAAATATTGAACAAAATTAAGGAATCAATATCCGAAATAGTACACAAAGTTAAATAATTTGAACTTCCTACCATAACCATGCCATTCTTTTAATAAACATTAACAACTGATAGAAAAGGCTCCTAATAAATTGATCCATAGATCTAAACAATAACCAGAGCAGTAATTATTTAAATTACAGTACATCAAATAGTACCATAGAGAACTAACTAAAAAATCCTCACATATTCAATTGGAAAAGGAGAATCGAAAAACAAAAACAACCTAAAATTAAAGCACAACCCTGCCCTAATTATTAAGCAGACATACATCCAATACCATATCTAGTATTGGGAAAAACAAGAAAAAGTCCACTGCAAATAACTCCCACCATTAAAGGAAAACTCCTCATAATTTCATCAAGTTCTTTTGCATGTCCAGGGAATAAACAAAGCGTCACTCTATGATCCGAAAATGCAATCGCCACAAATACCAAAACAGACATCATTGCATGTACGAAATCCGAAAATCCCACAACGTACCTGTTAGAAAAAATAAACAATAAATTAAAACGTGAAATAACGGCTTTGAAATGTGAAATCAATTTACTACAAGAAAAATAATGCTTGTGAAGGAAGAATAAAATCGTCACAAATATCAATTCACATGGATGAATTCTAACATAAAAACTGTCACAAAATTGTGACATGCAATCTGTCAGTCATATATATTTCGTCACAAATATTACCTCTCATCTTTTGGCACATCCACACCTACTCCAGACTTGAAAACTTTCAACCCTCTTGGTGTCACAAATCCATAATAAACTTTCCCATCGAGTCCACGAAAACTATCAGTAAAATGGAAGAAGAAGCAAGACAAAGTACAAAGGCCAAGTAGTGTTAAAATCATTAATGTAGTGACCGGGGAACAATCGCCTTTGCCATAGACCGAAGGAAGGACCATTTCAAAAGTTAAAAGTGTGCCTGTTGGCAAGAAATTGACAAGCAATGAAGTTTTTGAGAGTGTTTTTTGAACCCCATTTGCCATTGCTCTTCGTTTCTTGCCACCAATTGCTGGTTGAGGCAATTCGGGGATCGGAACATCGTCGTCTGGTTGTAAATTAGTAGGGTAAATTGATGTATCTGCACGTTTTGATGCACTGTAGATTTTGATCCCAATTCCCTCAGTACTTTGCTCCATTTTTTCGAGAAAATTGAGAAGATTTAGAAGGGTTGAAGATTGAGGAAACGAGGAATAATGATCAAGAATGAAGTTTTTAGACAAAGATCAAGAATGAAGTTTTTTTGAATTTGAATTTAAAATATTTAAATATCTATATGGTAGTTATTTGAATTCTGTGGGAAAATTTCGAATTGAGTAAAAAAGATAAACTTTTTAGATTAAAAATGAAATATAACTTCAACTGAATTTTCCTTATATCTTCAAATATAAAAAACAAAACAAAGAAGAAAAGAAAGAAAATCAACACCTTAACTGCTACCGCAGTTTATCCATGTTATATCTCTTCCTAAAACATTTCTCCTAAATTATAGGCACATACTACATGTCTCTCCACTCAAAATAACAAAACAAGAAACTGCAACGCATTTTTTTTTTTTTTTTTATCTTAACTAATTAACTCAATATAAAGATGACGATAGAAATTTTCTCTAAAAAGAGCAACATATAATTTGCGTAATTCAATTATGAATAGTAAACGTTCTTATAGTATAATTATGAATTTAATAGATAAAATCCCGTAAAGAAAAAAGAAAAAATTAAACTTCCCCCCCCCCCCC